CTCCTCCTGCTTGGCTTCCGAGGACTCGTCCCGACGCTCCTCCTCCCTCTTCTTCCACACAGTGCGAAGCTGCTCCAGTTCCTTCTTGGCTGCATCATCCTTGATCACACACACACACGAAACAGGCTTGATCTTCCGAAGCTGCAGCCCGCCGATCAAGAGACACACGCAATGGGGATGGTCTTGTTGACCACCGTCGATGTGCTGGCACCCTTCGGAGCGGGGCCTGGAGCCCCGGCCTGCTTCGCGGGCTGTGCACCTCCATCGGCTCCTTGGACCGCCTTCTGCCCTGGCCTCGGCCAGCGCTTCCGGCATGCATCCTCCGCGCTGTGCACGACAGGCCACCACCAATGGGCTCGATTGAGCCGGATAGCTACACAGAGAGGTTGTTCTGGCTATGCTTACTCTTGCACGCGCATTGAAATGTTTGGACACGACACTGGCCGGGGAACCTGATCCTGCAATGCTTGCATGTGTGCTGCCAGGACGCGATCGTTTCGCCTGTGAGTTTTCTTGTCCCGACGACGAATGACGCTGGCCTACTCCTTTTGGCCATGTATCCCAGGGAGCCTTGGAGCAATCGTAGATGTGGTTTGCGTAGCTGGTCAGCTGGCCACAATGCTTGTACGTAAACCTGTACCTGGACTTGCTTTCGGTCTTCCTGGTGGCCCACTTCGCCTTTGCTTGATCTTGTTGCAGCTTCCGATGTTTTTTTTGCTCGGGGCCAGTGGGGGAGCCTCTTGAACCAGTATGGGGCCCGCGGAGCTTGAAGCCGTAGCGGTTGGAGGAGACATCGGGGTCGTTTTCGTCGGAATTCGTCGTCTCGGAGCTACTGCTGGTCTTTCCTGCTTTACTCGAAGTCGTCGCCGTATCAAGGGTACTGGAGGAGGTGGCGGAGCAGGAGAGGAGGCAGGACGGCGCAAGGTAACAACACCACGGCATTTGGCAGCGTGAGCTGCAAACGAATGCAGACGGACCAGAGCACCGCATCTCGGACAAGGAGAAGAGCTGCGTATGAACCGCGGTTTGTCTGGCCTCTTCACGCCCGTGCACCGTCTCGCGTGCACATGGAAGCCATTCACAGGGATAACGCCTCGGCACTTCGGCCAAACTCTCCCGGTTATGGTGCTCAAGCCCTGATCACCAGGACGAATTTCGAGCACCAGGAAAGCACCGAAACTGGAGGGTTTCATGTGTCGTGCCCTGGGAGGCGATGCTCGCTCGCCGCCTCGCCAGCGTGCCGAGCAGATGCCGCTTCGATGAATCATGCCCGGGGTGTGGCCCTCAAGTCACCAGGGGAGAAAGAACCACTACCGCCCGCTGGCTGGGGGCCTGGTCGCTCTCCCTCCCTGAGCTGGTGGCACCCCGTTCCCGGCGCGCCTCCAAAAGAGAGTGCCCAGAACGGAGTGCCACCAGCTCGGGGGGTGGGGGGCGGGGTGGCCTTTGGGAAAGGAGCTCTGTAGAGCTCTGGTGGTGGGCGGCTCCTGTTGCTCGCATGATTCTGAAGTGCAGTGGAGACCCATGCCGAGAAGCACCCTGCTTGCCTCCAGGGTGCCCTGGGTTTCTTGGGTTTCGATGGTTTTGCTGGGGAGTGCCCGACGTTCCCGCACCAACAATCCGTGGACGTCCTGGGGCCTCCGGGCTGGGTTTCTCGTGGAATGTCTCTTGTGGCCGGGCCCCTACTGTCACCACCTACCAAACCACCCCAACCCAACCCGAAGGCCTCAATTTGCACTCCATTTCCAGTGGGGGAGGGGGGTCGGGGAACATCGAGAAAACACATATGGAACCCGTCCCCCCCCCCCCCAACCCGAAATTCGGGTCTTCGGGTTGGGTTGGGGTGGTCTGGTAGGTAGCCGTACTGTACGGCGGCGGGGACAGCATAACCTCGAGGTGCCCTCGTGGGCCGTGCCCGCACTCGCGGGCGGCTCCTCGGGGGGCGCGGCGGGGCGGCGGCGGCGGTCGGCCTCGCTCGGCTTCGCGCCGGCGCCGCGGCCTCGTCGCGCAGCGCGCGCCAAGAGCTCGTCGCAGCCTCCCCCCCTGAGCTGGCACCAGCCACTCGCCACCCAGAGTGCAGGTGCTGCAGACGTTTCCTCCTCCTCTTTTTGCTCCTTCTCCTCCTCCTCCTCCTCCTCCTCCTCCTCCTCCTCCTCCTCTTGCTCCCCGTGCTCCTCGTGCTCCTCCTCCTCCTCCTCCTCCTCCTCCTCCTCCTCGTGCTCCTCCTCCTCCTCCTCCTTCTCCTCCTCCTCCTCTTGCTCCTCGTGCTCCTCCTCCTCCTCCTCCTCCTGCTCTTCCTCCTCCTGCCTCCTCCTCCTGAGGGTGGGGCTCCTGTCGGCCGGGCCTGGGACGTCACCACCCACCAAGCCGCCCCAACCCAACCCGAAGGCCCCAATGAACCCCTCCATTCGGGCCCGACGAAAGGGGGGGATTGGGAAAGGGGAGGTTACGAAATTTGCTGCATGCAGCTAGTTTCGGCCCCACCGAGGGGTCCAATCCTCGATACATAGTCGCCTCCAGCGCCGGGAGGCGCCGGGAAAATCAGCTACATGAGCTGATTCTCAAACCCCCCCTTTGCTATCCCCCCTTTTGCCCGACCCGATCCATCTCCAGTGGGGGGGGGGATGTCGGGGAACACGGAACAAGCACGTGTGGTCACCCCCCCCACCCCACCCGAAACTTGGGTCTTCCGGTCAGGTTGGGGTGGTCTGGCAGGTAGTTAGTGGCCCACGGCTGCTGCCACTCCTCTTCTGGTTGATAAACTCCGGGGGGGACAAGATCACACAGACACAATTGATCGTCGAGTCCCCAGAAAATTTGGGAAAACATGGGAAGTGTGGGGGGGGGTCCTGAGATTTGTGTGTATTTATTTGTTTGTGTGTCTCCTGGCCCCTTCACGAACGAAGGCTCAGAAGTCGACGGTCGGGTCCAGAGGCCCCGGGGCTGCCCACTGGCTCGGCTCCGAGCAGTCCTAGTTTTATGTCGGGCCTGTCCCCCTACAGGGGGATTTTCGCCGAAAATTCAAAATACGCCAAACATAATCAAAACATAGTCCAAAGATAGTCAAGGGATTATTTTTGAGTATTTTCAGACCTTTTTGATGTTTTTTTGGGTATTTTTTATTTTTCGTCGAACATCCCCCTGTAGGGGGACACGTCCGACATAATCCTAGTTCCCGCCCATCCCTCGAGTGCCTCCCAAGATGGCCCAAGTGTTGCAGAGCTCTGGAAAAATCACTCGAAGAAGGACACAGACACACAAACATAAACTTTGGGCGCTCCGCGCGGATATCTTGGATCCGCGCCTGGGGCCCCCCGGCGGCGCCTCTGGCGCCGCCCCTGGCGCGCTCCGCGCGCCGGGGGGTGGGCGGGGTCCAGCGCAGATCCAAGAATTCCGCGCGGAGCGCCAACATTTTTTGTATTTATTAAAAGAACAATATGTATTGTTTTTGTTGATTCTTTTTCTAAGCA